ATACTGGGGTAAGTTGTAACACATACTGGGGTAAGTTGTAACATGTAGACAAAATGCATAAAAACTATGGGTACTCCAAGTGATATGCCACAACAACATTTTATTTCAAATTAATGGCAGCAACAATACTATGTGTGTGAATTTTGGGACAAAAAAACAAGGGAATTAAAGACTGAAATCTTACAAGAACAAACAAATGAAATGCATTGTTAGTCAGAATCACAATGCTGGCAAATGAAATTGGTCAGGCCAGGAGTGCATGCTTGATGGGCCCAAAACTTACACAAAACACACTTGACCCACACTTCTTTGGATTTGGAATTTTTGAATGGCTCCATACAGATTACACAGAGATCATCATCATCTTCAGAGGAGGAGTCATCAGCCTTCACCCTTTCCTTGGCAGGTTTTTTTGCCTTCTTGGTTTTAATTTTCTCACTCTCCAGGATTTTTTTTCTGATGTTTTTTCCTTTCCGACGCTCCTCCTCTTCCAATGCCAGCTTCACTGGTGTATCAGTGAGGATTTCCGAGCACCTCTTCTTCCTACCCCTACCTGTATCTTTCCTTGGGCCTGCTTTTGCAAATGGCCTGATAAGTGATGGACTGAACGACTGACCTGAGGTGCTTGGCATCTCACCGGAATGCAGGTGGCCTAGAGAGGAACCTGGAGGCAGGTGAGCTGGAGAGAAGCCGGGCGGCAGGTGGGCTTGAGAGGAGTTCTGTTTAAGATCCCCAGATGGATCAGGCCGATCTGTGACTTGAGAAGGCACAAAGTCACAGTCCTGGAAAATGTTACAATTGTAAGGCCATATGCCTGTGCACTGAAAGCCCGCTTGTATGTTCTTCGGTGTTGCGGCTGTTTGAAAAGCGATCCTCACGATGCCTGGTATGTCGTAGATGCTCATCGTTTTGCCTGGATTCCCCCTCATCCAGTCATCGCTTGCCAAATTTACCATCCTTTTAAACGGCCCGAACACACTGCGATCAAGTGGTTGCAGTTTATGGCTGCAATGCGGTGGGAATGTGAGAAGCACAATTCCCTGGCCTTTGCAGAAATCCACAGCTCTCACAGAGATGTGAGAGGAGTGGTTGTCAAGCAGGAGCAACACCTTTCTTTCTGGACTGACCTTTGTATGCTTCACAAAGTGACCGAGGAATGATAGGAAATCCTCTTCCTGCATCCAGCCTGATGTATTAGCACTTCCTGCACTCCCCAATGGCCCGCCATGAACAAAGTGATCTTTAAAATTCTTACGAGGGAACACAAAAAATGGGGGGATGGTATTCCCCAGCGCTTGCACCGCATAAGCCACTGACACAAGTGTGCCCCTCTCCCCCGACGTCATGGCACCAACCTGCTTTACACCCCGGCGTGCTACAACTTGGGATGGTGCCTGGACTGTTGTCACACCGGTTTCGTCAACATTCCATATATCACTTCCATCAAAAGTGTTTTTATCTATAACCTCTGCCAGCCGATTGAAGAAGAGCTCCACATTAGTACGATTGAAACTGGTGGCCCTTGACAGGCTCGTTGCCTGTGGACTCCTGACTGAAAGTCTAGGGTTCCGTTTCATGAATGAGCTAAACCAATCAGGCCCCGCCATGTTCTTGGCATCCCAGGTTTGTGGATGTTTTATGTTGTATTCCACCGCAAGTTGGTGGGCAAACTTTCTGACCTAAAAGAAATCATGAGTAAGGACAATCTTTTTTAGAAATTGTCTAAATATATGTATTCATGGTATTTATTTAATTTATGGTATTTATTTAATTTTTACCTGATTTTAAATATTGTATTCATCATTCACAAACATGAAATTAAGCTTGCAAGAAAGGTCCAATACAAATTAAGAGGTCTTGAACTTTGACTTTTCTGCCCTAGTCTCAAAACACTCATCCATCATGCTCACCTCACGTGGAGTCAGCCCATAGTATATATCAGCTGCCTGGCTTATATATTCTGACAGAGTCTCCTCCTGCTCCCTGTTGAAGACCTGGTTAGGACTGAAGTATCCTACACAAGGAAGGTCCCTCGATCTCTGCTCCTTCAAATCTTTGTATTTTCGCCAATATCTGCTTAAGGTGACATGGCAGATCCCATGGGATTTTGCCACTGCCCTGACTGACTTTCCTCTCTTAACTTCCTCTGCTGCTCTTTGTAAAAGACTGGCATCGACTCCACGGTTTGTTTTTCTCACCCAAGTTCTAGGCATTCTGTAGAATTATTAAAATAACAAAAATGTTCTTAGTTGTATGTAAGGGGATGGTTGTAACACTTTTGAATCACACGTTTCAACCTACCCCGCCACTGTCAGCCATTGTTTAACTAGCTGTATTAGCATGGTGCTTTGAAATTAGCAGAAGGTTGATACTCCATTTCTTACTAGAGAAACTATAGTTTAACTTAATATAACTCACACAACATTACCTACAATGGTAGAAGTACTAGAAAAAACTTTATCTTGTTTTTTTTTTACTTTCTTACCTCAGAATTAGGTTTTCTGCTGTAGCTTCAGGAGAGATAGCAACACCGACTTGACAATTTCCATGTGGGATTGAAAAGGAAGCCTGAAGAAACTGAAACGGTCACATGACTCCAATCTTATCCCTGATTGGTGGAATTGGTAGCGTTACAACTATCCCTGTGTAACAACTATACCCGGTCTCCCCCTAATTTAAAAACCATATGAAAGACGGTTTACTATTTCTCCACTTACTACATTACATTACTACTCCATTACTACAATGTAAATGGTATTTACCTAAAAGGATGACAATGTTAATCACAATAGAAACAGAGGGGTGTAGGTTATCCATGTAGAAGATAACATCAAATACGTCAAACTGTGGAATATCATTAATCAAGAGTGATAACCAGGTGTATATTTCCAACCAAAAACCAGCTGACATAGGACATAGAAAAAACAGGTGTTGTAACGTTTCACAGGCTGAATCACAAAAAGAACACAGGTCCACCTCAAATTTAAACCGTCTCTCTAAAAATTCAGACACTGGGTATATATTATTAATTATCTTGAAATGAGTTTCTTTAACTTTTGGGGAAACAGGCCACTTAACAAATTCAGAAAATGCCTTTTCCATGAGAGACTGATCCCCATGAAAAGCCTGCAAATGCCTACCTGAGTCAAACTCATGGAAAAGAATTAATTTAAAGTTCACACTAATAATCTTATTGTTACATTTGCTATCGTCTAGATTACAATTACCAATTTTTAAATTTGGCAACACTGGTTTGACTTCTGTATATAACATTATGTTGCATATTAGCTGCCTTAAAGCCAATGGGATAGCACGACAGACCGTCCTGTATTCTTTCTGCGGACAACCTAAATTAAATTTCTTCAAAAAGGATACATAATCTAACAGAATACCATCTGAATCCAACAAGTCAGTCACAAACAAAATACCACTCTCAAACCACTTTCTATTACACTGTAAGCCTATACAGGTTGATTGAACTTAAAAAATTTATGGAAACTCGTTGCCCTAAAAAAGCTAATTTCGTCTTGTTGAAAAAACTATACATTTTAAGTTTATTGTAGTTACAATTTCAAATGCATATAATTAAACATTTAGTTGACTGAAATAAAAGTTTTTAGTGCAACGCTATTGAAATCTTAGGTACAT